GATAGAATTTTTCCGCTTCCTCATTGTCATGAGATGTACTCATGGGTGTATAAGCTGCGATTTGTAGTGTCTTCATGGTGTCTTATTGTTCGGTTGGAGGCACGGCACACCTTGTCTTGGTGACTTCACATTGCAGATAGCTATTTTGTAGGGCTTTTGCTGGCCAAAAGTCTGATTCTTCCTATAGTCTGCGCCATATCTTCATAACCAAATCAAACTAGCGTCTTTCCAGAGGTCAAGGAATTAGCAAGATATTCTGGACCCTTTCTACATTAATTCGTTTAGCGTTACTTGTCTTGACAGTGTTCTGCAGTAGGTGCAGGCGGGCGAAGGAAATCCGAGTTTATCAGATGGCGGCCTTTCACCTAGGATTCTTCATCCGGTCAGTCGAACACCGAACCGCCGTCGTGGAACAGGTAGAGAGACGAGCAGGGTACTCTGCCATTTATTCTTTTTGTCATGGTAAATGAATTTTTCCGTAGCTGGCAGGGCTGACGGTGGCCTGGGGAATTTCATACTGGCGGGATCCCGATGCCGTCCTGTTTTTTTTTGAAAGTTATCTCTTCTAGTCTTTGGCAAACCGATGTCTAACCGCAAGGCAGCGGTGACACTGACAGCCTTATTTCTTCGGTAGAGGAAGCCGTTTTCGCTTCAGTATAAGACCTTCATTGGGCGCCGTGACTTTCTCTCTGAGGATCGAACATATCGAGCTCGAACCTGGCCACGTTCTGATGGTCTCACACCTGACTGTCCGGGACTGCTCATTTGTCGCAGCTAACCTCCATATTTGGAGGTCGTTCACTCATCCGCCAATCCGGAGAAGCGCCAGATGGCCAGCGGCTAGGCACACTGGGCGTTGCACTTCGGTAAATTAAGATATGCGCCTTCGCCGAATTCTTCAGAAGTTTTTTGCCATACCACAGCAGGCAGCGGTCGGATAGTATCGAATCGAGCGATACCTTAGGTAAATAAAACGAAAAAGTTCAACGGCGCACAGTCTTTAAATAACCTGGCCATGTACGAATGAATTGAATTCATGCACGCTTAATAGCACTGGCAGATCAGGTTTCGCTTGAAGGCAAACCAACAACGATCACGGAAAAATTGTTTCGGCCGTGATGTCGCACCATGCTCGAAGTTTCAGATAAAACCGTTTTAAACAAATTTGATTATCAACAGATTTTTATATTCTCCGCTGCATACGATAGTTACGGTTCACTGATGAACAGCAGCAACAGTAACGTTTAGATAAATCAGCAAATTGGTTTTCTGCTGGAAAAAATTATTTCGAGTATGAGTGATTCGTGATACTGACAGGGGGCGCTCTTTTCATTACGTTCTTCACTATTGTGAATACTTACAGCAACGTGTATTTTGGCAGGCAAGGAAAGAAAGAAGAAAAGTCTGTAACTATAAGTATGTCGATCTGGGGATCTGGCTTTCGCGATAGGGTTGTTTCTGACGCCCTTCATTTCATGAAGTTACCCGTGACAAGCAGCCAGTTGCCCAGTAAGGTCTCTCTCGCCAAAAACGTTTCAAATCAGCCAGCTGGTGTTAAAAATGTGAACAACAGTTCAGTGGGGTTTGCATGTTTGTTTTTTATTGACCGTGATTCTCTTCCTGCATTTAGAAGGTCTTCAGCATCCAGATCTTTTCAAAACCACGAAGAGCAGAGTCCATTTAAGGCTGCCAAGTATAGCAGGACATCCTCTTATTCCGTTAAACACCCTTCGTAAAACAAAAGGTTGTCTCAGGAAGCAGAGCCTCGTCACCGCAGTTTTTTCCGACAAACAGTGAGAGGTTTTCGTATTCTGAGGTTAAAATTAAACGGATTATACAGCGAAAAGTAAAATATAAAACTTTATGACAATGATATGAATTTATTTATCATTCAGATATCCTATCAACGGCGCCCGATGCGACTGGATGTTTGTGCCTATGTTGGATGATGGTCAAGGGCTGAGTTTAAAGAATGCTAATAAAGTGGAATCGCAACAAAACAACTTTTATTCAGTTTGTTTAGTTTAACATTTATTTAACACGATAAGAAGTGACCTGTCAATACGACTGAAAGCATCGATCGTTCAGATTTTTTATTAGCAATGAAACCGTTGTGACTACCTTGCAAGTTGCTTTGTTAAGAAAAAGTTCATTTCAATGTTGTACCGCGTTATGCGGTACAATTCAAACTACAGAGCATGCTTTCATGTTGTTGGCAAATTATTTCTGCTATTAATTGCTGGGTATGATTCATCGAAAGGAAACTTCTTTTTTTGCAACTCAGTTTGCCGATGGTTGTTTACTAGTCCTGTGGCTGTTTAAAATTCTATTTATCTTTCGTTATTACACTAGTTTGTCACTTTTTGTCACCATGATGACAGCTGTAACTAATACACGCCATATTCAGCTTTAAAGTTTTGTAACCTACCTGCTGAGTTGCTTACACATGACTGTTCCTTACTGTCTTCCTACATTTTGCTGCGATTGTCACATTAATTTGTTTCTTGGTTGGTTACACCGAAGTTCGTTGATGTAGCAGAAGTTACATCCTAACTTCTATTTATTCATATGTGAAACCGTCAGTCCCCATGTTATACAGCTAACTTTTACGCCGTGTTGCCTGTTATTACAAGGCTAAGAGCCGAGGCGAACTTCCACGCTCAGTCGTTTATACATCGAATACTGCTGTTGCCTTGAAATATGGTATGGAATGGTCCATATACCACCGAGAGCGGCCTATGCGGCACTACCTCATCTTATGACTCGTTGGCAAATCAGATTCAGCGGTTTGGCACTGTACTATGTTGACTCTTTCGCATATTATAGATTTGTTGTGTTATTTTGCTGACTTTACAGGAGTAAACTGAGCAGCATCCTTGAGATGCGGACTTCGGACTTGCGGAGCACAGATTCAATTTCTCGCATGGGCGTGAAACCACCATTTCGTCAGACACTGCAGTTGAACTTCTACTCCCACTGGCCTGTTCATTTGTTAATGAATGTCTATTCTTCTGCGCTTGTCTTTCGACTCCTCTTGTGTCTTCTTCTCTTTGTGAAAAATCGTCTGCACTCTGCGAAGCTACCACATTCCTCTTCCACTAAAGGTTGTCATCTCTGGTATTGCAAAGCTAAGCATAGAGCTAAAGTTTCATGTGGGTTTACTTCCTTTGCACATAATAGCGATCTAAAGTCGCGCTGAAGATTGAACGATTCCCTGTCGTGGTTTTTTTCTTGGCTGAAGATGGCCCAGATTACCATCCGGTTGTTCTGTGGTCTTCGATTTCTCTGCATTCTCTGGACATCCGTAAGAGTGGAGTGCCTTCGTTGGATGCCGCTTAGCGGGTAGCTTCTGCGCTATGAAGAGGTCATATCTTTGAAATGAAAATATTACATAGTTGTTACGAGGAGGGGTAATCTTTGCATTTCAACTCTAACATATCGGCAAAAGCAGGAACAGAAAATTTTACATTAATGCGAATGCACCTATTACTTCGTTATTATTTTTCAAATATTTTGAGCGCCTTAAGTCATGAGATGAATACGGTTCTCGAGTTTGTTCCTAATCTCACTTTTCATTGGCGGTGCAGAAACTATTTAATAATCTCACTTTACCAGGGGCTGTTGTTAACCTATGCGAGAATGGGATTATGAATCGTAGAAGCTTTGTACGCTCAGCATCGCATCGACACTATAGATGACGAAGAAATGACCCATGTACCAAAGCGAAGTGCAATAGATCTTATTCTTTACGGCAGCCGTAGAAACTTGAAACTTTGCCATTAACCCTAATCTTGGAAGATGACGGACCTGATCTTGTTTCTAGGCCAGTTGATGAATGATCTGAAATAAAACTACAAACGGAGAGACGAGAGATCAAGGTCATTTATTTTCATTTATATTTTTAGACTTGGCGAAGCATCTGCACTTTGAACAGAGGTTGAATACAATATGCA